CTTTAAAGGGTAAGCTGATTAAAATTCACCTTTTTTTTTTTTTTTTTAAACCCAGTTCCAATGTCCTGAGAAAAAGGAGTCTGTCTCTCTCTCTCAAAAAAAAAAAAAAAAAAAGCAAGCGGCATTTACTGTTATGGAAAACTCGTCAGTGAGGAAAGCAACCCAGGGAACTCTGCAAAATGAACTCGGTGGAACGAAGTTGGTGGTTCTTGTGCTGTCAGCAGAGGGCTTCAAGAGCTGCAGAGGGTCTGACATCTGTGGAGCCACAGCCACTTGTCCTACTGTACAAGCTCCTGCAATACCCGCAGCTCACTCTTGCGTCATTCCCAACTGCTGTCCATTTCCGCTGGCGATGCTGTCCCCCAAGAGTTAGCACCTTGCACTGCTGCTGAGTGCTGCCCAGCTTCAGGCTGAAACACCCAAAGTGTAACTGCCTTAATTAAGCTACGGAAGTATGCGTTTTAAAGGTCAAGAGTTCCCAATCAATCCTAGGAATTTAAGAAGGGGATAATATTGCCCAAAGACACTAAGCAAAACTTGATCTTCTAGAGATACTTGTTTCACTTTCAAAGGTCGAGAATGAATACAGATTCTTGATATTCTTTGGTATAAGAAAATACCAGGGATACATTTCTTTGACTCACTAAAAAGTCTGGCATGTGTTCTATTAAATGTAATGTTAACAGGGAGATAAATTCTTTCCTCAGTAGACCTCCTTAGTGAGAACAACCTTGAAAGATGACAGGCTGTTACAGACTCAAACTGTTGTGTATAAATCTCTTTTTATGTAAATGTGCAACAGACTGACAGTTGATTGAGGCATATACATAATAACATAAACACTTCTTCAAAAAGTAATAATTCTTTTCTAGAAAGTCGTGCTCTCTGAGTTACATCTTCCGAAGACATGGGAGTTGATTAATATACACCAGGAGCAAAAGAATTTTACCTGACCATCTTCCAGATGTCAGTAGAGTAGAGTTAGTGTTCCTTTTTTTGCTGGAACTTGATAACATAGGAAAGGATAACTGAAATGGAAAATAACAGCTTAAGTGTAAGAGGTAGCAAATCGTATCCCAGCGATACTGACGAATGTTCAGACAACTAATATTTGAATTTACAGTTGTTCCTCTTTTGCAAGGTTTCATCACTGTTTTGTAAAGAAAGTCTTGAAGGGGAGGAAGACTACAGATCCCAATGACATATCATTTCTTTGCACAGAAACTATTTAGAAACTACAATGCCACTGAAGTATCATCACAGGATTCAGCAACAAGCCTTGAAAGTTTAGGTCCTTATTAAAAAAAGCAATTTCATGTTTTCAAATTTTTTCCTCAAATGAGATTTCCTTGATGCTTTAGAGCTTCTTTGCTTCTAGCAAGGACAGAAAGGGGAGAAAGCAATTATACTGTTAAAAAAAAAAATCCTAACCTGCTCTAAACCAGCTGTCCTTCCTTCTTTCCTGTTCAGCCCATATACTTACGAAACTTACCACTTAAGTAACACCAACTTAATGTACCAAGAAATGTAATAACAGATAGAGATTTTTCTCTCTTTGCTCCCTTTGGTTTGAAAAAGAGGAACTAAGGATGATTATGTGGGTTGGGCACTTCTGTCACAAGTTGCTTCCATGCATGACTACCCTTAGAAATTCCTCTTGACTTCATTCTTTTTGACTCACGCATCATTGACACAAGGCCTACTCTGATGGGAAACTGCAAAGACCATTTCATGAAGAAGAATTTTGGAATAATTCATTTGACAACTATGTTTGTGGGAAATAACATCAGTAAAAATGCTGTACAGGTAATGCAACTGAACCTTTTCATTTTCTTAAAGAGCAAAAAGGTTCATTAATTTTTGCTGTAGGGCATTTCACATTTGAATAGTTGTATTTAAGTGACATTCTAGCTTTCCCGTGAAAAGCTTAGAAGGTCTCCTCCTAGATAATTAATTATACCCTTGGAGTCTAGTGAGGAGACTCAGGAAAAATACAAAGTCTTAAACTGGAAAAAAATACATACTGAGGAGATTTACACAGGGACTACACGGATTACAAGAATTTACCAACAGTATTATGTGTTATCAGTATATGCTAACAAATTACTTATATTTTTTGCAAATTTAAAGATGGAACTTGCTAGTAATTGTCTAAAAAAAACTTTGCCAGAATATGTCACTTTGTCATCTGAAGAACTGTTTAAATGTCAATAAAATTTCACCACAAATCAGCCTAATTTTCTGTCAGCCTTCCTAGAAAATCAAGCTGCCTGGAGGACACAGAAGTTGACAACGCACAATTAATTCTGGAAGCATGCGAATGTTCTTGTGCATTGTATTTCCATGGAAGAATTAAACACTTTGTGTCTTTTGGATGGTAAGAAGTAAATTAATGTCACTATCTTATATTAGTATATTTAGAAATATTACCATAGAGTAATTTAAGTTGGACAGGAATTCTGAAAATCAGTCATCTAGTCCATCTCAAAGACAGGTCCAATCATACCAGGTTGCTCAGGACTTAGTCTGATTGAGCTCTGAATATCTCCAAGGATGAAGACTCCACCACCTCTCTGGGCAACCTGTTCCAGTATTTGACCACCCTCACAGGAAAAAACATTTTTCATAATAGCTAACCAAGTTTTCTAGTGCTCCATTCTCATGTCCAATGCCTCTTACTCTATTGCTGTGCACCTCTGAGAGGACTCTGGCTCTGTTGTCTCTGTACCATCCCATTAGGTACAGAGGGTAAAACCCTCTATTCTTAAGGCTGAACAAGTCCAGTTCTTTCAGCCTCCCCTTCTATATCAGCTGCTCCAGCCCCTGATCATCTTGGTGAATCTCTGCTGGTCTCACCTCAGTATGTCAATGCCTATCTTGAACAAGCCCAAAACTGGATGCAGCACTCCAGATGCGGTCTTCCATGCACCAAACAGAAGGGAAGGATCACCTCCCTCCATCTGCTGGCTATCCTGTTGTTAGTACCACCCAGGATGGGGCTGGCTGGCACGTTGCTGATTCCTGTTCAATTTGTTGTCCACTAGGACCCTGAGGTCTGTTTCTGCCAAGCTGCTTTCCAGCCAGTACTGGCATATGGGGTTTATTCCATCCTAGATGTGGGACTGCAATTGCTTTTGTTGAACTTCCTAGGGTTCTCGTTGACCCAGCCTGTTGAGGTCTCTCTGAGACCCTGCCCTCCAGTGTATAGACTACTCTCCCAAATTTGGTATTGCCTATGAACTTGCCGAGGGATGCTACTATTTGCCAGTTGCCAGTTGGACTTTGCATTGCTGATCACATTTCCTGAAGCTTGGTGTGTCAGCCAATTTCCCACCCACCTTACAGTCCATATAAGGTCTCACCAATTTTTCTATAAGGAAAAGATAAGAGAACAAATTGTGAATATTTAAGATTCCAACTAGTATCTTGCCTAAAATAGCTCACAGTCCTTCTAGATAATATATTTCATTAATTATTGGGTGATAACAGACAAATAGAATAGTCTGGGAAGTTAAACTTGGGACTGTGAATCATAGAAAATATCTATTACAAAGTACAAAATTAGTATCTGCATATGGGAGCTGTTTCACATGAAAGACATGTTAATGATTCTATTCACATAAAAATACAAGTTAGATAAAACCCTAGACTTCAGGAAACCAAAGTTTATTCAGGAATGTCTGTACAGATAGCTTTGTGAGCCTAAAGGTTTGTGTATTTTTTTTCCCTAGTGAACACCAGTTAGGCTAATAAAAGATATTACCTCTGTCTACACACTTGGACTCCCTCACTCACAGAATGATAATTTTAATCCTGTGACGTGCAATTGCTAGCATTTTTACCTCACTCTCTCTGAATTATAAAAAAATAATAAAGAAACTGAAGCTTACCTGAAGCACAAGAAGTATTGCTGTGCTTCAAACTGCTGTTTGGAAAATGAAGAAAAGTGTATCTAGGAATCATAAGCCTGATATAGCTCAGTATCATATAGTAAATAATTATCATTCATGTCCAGGTAGGAACAATGAATCAGTTGAAGAGATATTGTCAAGGAAGAAGGAGGTAAGAAAAAAGAGCTCCCTCTTAAATGAAATCTCAGCAATATTTTCAGTATACAGTCACTAAACCAATATCATATATATTTATGTTGTATATAGACATGTACCATATGCAGTCAAAAGTGCTTTAAAATATTAGAGACCTTTTCTATAGTCTAAATAGATGGTGGAGTGGCATAAGTAAGTAGACTGTGTTCTTGGAAGATGGGGCTTATTTTTATGCAATTAAATATGGCAAGTTATCCATTTCACTATTACATGCTACAGTACTCACACATCATGGTTCTATTTTTATTATTACACAGATGTAAATACACTAAAATAAGTGCATCTAGCCCATTAAGTGTCAGTGCTGATAATCAAGATGTATTTTATTGCTGCTTTGTTTTTAATGCCTGTTTGGTAGAACAAATGACATCAAATGACAAACTATACAAATCAAGGCTGGTAAGAAATTATTTTTTTTCTTCCACCTGACATGAACTTCCTTCATAGAAAGCAGGATATAGTCTGATGCTAACCCATGTATATTTTTTAAATTTCTATGAGCCAGAATAGTTGCAAGGAATGTGGGATGAAACACAGGGTCCAAGAAAAACAATATAAAAAAGCTGAAACATGCATTAATTTGAACACTCTGAATAACATGCTCTTTAACTGCCCAGATTATAAATGTGTACAATATGCTAGTGTTTATTTATCTTTTAAAATTCAAATATATGTTAGTAAAATCATTGCATGCATTATTTCCACACATTTTATTCACAGGACAGATCTAAAAATTATTTTCGGAAGCATAAGATCATTTGACAGGTATAAAAGAACAGTTAAAAACAAAACAGTTGTTTGTGTTTATGGTAAAAGGGGCATCATTATGGTGAAAATAATTTTCTTCAAAAAAAAGCTCCCCAAAGGATTATTTTGAATAATTTTTGAAAAATGCTACGGTGATGTTTTCTTCTGCAGTTTCTTGTACCATACGGGTGCCTCTTTATTTGTCTGTAAAATAAAGAATGTTTTAATTGTGAGACAGTGAAAGTCAGAAGAAAAACATGCAATCTACACTAAAGTCTCTTTCCTTCCTATGTAGTTCACAGTGATATTTGAATTCTTTGCTTAAATGCAAATCAATTAAAAACAAGACTACGCATTTAAAGTTACTATTACTACATATCTGAATTAAAACCTCCCTATTTCTAGGTTATAAAAAGCAGATTATACAGTAAGAAGTAAATGATTTGTTTAAAAAATCTATCACAATGAAAACATGCATCAACTGTGTCATAAATAGGTTTCATTTGAAAGAGCATCATCTGATTTTCCCATTTGAGAAGGGGATGGAACTTAGAAAAGAGACCTTAGGTGTGCCACAATTGACCAACACTTTATGCAGAACTATAGTTCTTAAAAAAATGATAATTAAAAGAATTCAGCAGTTTTCTAACAGCATAGAAAGTATTTTAATTGCAGAGAATTATCTGTGAGCAACTTTGCCTTGCCTTCATAATCCTATGGCCTACTGCTAGGCACTCAGGATTGTGTAACATTCTTGTGGCAAATTCAGTGGTTGGTTGTATAGAGAAATAAAATTAAAGAAGTGGAGGTGGAACAAGGTAAGGACTATTCTGCTTTCAGGGTTGGGTATAATCTCTTGCATTAGTGAGCACTATCTCTTTTGTCTGTTGTCCCTAAACTTGTTCTTTTCTAGTTCTGCTTTTTGTCTGCTCTCTATTCATTCTTTCCTCCAAGACTTAATAACCATTCAATTTAAAAAATGATTTTATTCAGCTGGCCTTGTGGTGGGGCTTCTCATCACATTTTAATCTCCATCTTTCTCTCATTTTGAAAATTTCAGTTACAAAAATAAATCTGCTCTATTTGTACAAGCTTTTAAAATTACAGAAATTGACCTAAATTGGCAGGATTTTTGGAGGACTACTAACTTCTTTCCCCATCTAAGAAGAAACCTTACCATCTGCCCATTTTTGGTTCTCTAAAAAGACTAGAACTTTTCCAAGAGAAACTTGTCACAATTTCTAAATGTAAAAACATTTTTTGTAGATTCCTACACCGCTTCTATATCCCTAAATAAGACAGGACAGATGAAACACAACCCAATTGTTAGCTCACATTTTGGATCATTGAATAGCTCCGTCAAAGACAAAGTTTGGGCAGTGTGATTTAGCACTATTGAAAGGATTGTGGATGAGACAACACTGGGTATGCCTGTGTTTAGTCTCATAACACTATCCAAACAAACTTTGAACCCCTAAAAAGCCCAAATTCCCTCACATCGTGTCCAAGAGATGCAACTTTTTCCTATATTTTGTATTATAAAAACAGTGTCTGACGTGCTGCAATACAAACATCATATTGTTTAAGACACTGAATTTTAAAGTCTCCACCAGGAAAAAAAAATAATATAGATGCATATCTGGAACAAAATAGCACATATGCTATACAATGTGGATACAACCAGTCTACCCTAGACAGAGGTAGCCTCAAGAAGTGTAAATAAGAGTCATAATTTGTTTTGTGATTCAGCATTGCAATTTGGCTCTCTTAAATTTATTAGTTCTGACACAGTCATAGTCAGGAACTTCTAAACCATTTTCATGAAGCTTACAAATACTAGAGGCATTAAATCTGAAGCAGGCCACTTGAAGTATTTAAATCCAAGCATTTAGCTTCTAAAGGAATAAACTAGGGTTTTATAATATCAGGTATCCTTAGTAACAGAAGTGGTATCAGTACTGGGCATGTATTTTTAATATATATTTAGATACATACACATACATTAATATACATATATACATGAATATACATAAATACACCTATTTCCTCACTCCTGTTCCTCAATATATATACACATATACTCAACTCACACATGATCAGGGTAGATTTAAAATTGTATATATAGTTTGTGGATCCCTTTGGCTATTAAAATTTTGCTAGCTACTCTTAATATTGCAATATTATAATTTTCTTTTTTTAATCTAGTTTGCTGTAAACTTAAGATGTAAAAACTACCAAATAGTTAAATAACACCATAAACTGTAATTTTTCTCCTCAGCACTGACCATTCCCATAAAGAGCTGCAAGTATTCAGCTGAATGAATTATACATCTTCTTGAAATATGAACCCACATTTTTCTTTTTAAAAAGTGAGGAGAATTATAAAAAAAGCTTATGGCACTTACTCTTATCATAGTACTTACAAATAATGTTGGCTTAGGTGTAAATACATTTTCTTCTTCATGTTCTGGCAGCAGTTTTACTGAAGGGTTTGATTTGTTTTTTGCAGTTACACTTTTTACATCAATATGAGATGGAGGTAAATTTTGTTTACCATGTAGACTAATTAGAATCTGTTTCATTGTGGCTAGTTCCTATAAAACCACAAAAGAACAATGCTAAGTTATTCAGTAAAATTACATTTGAAGGTATTAAATATTTATTTGTTAATAATAAATTTATACTCACCAAACTAAATGTGTAAGTGGATCAGTAAATCTAACAAGCATGAACATATACTTGCCATAATTAATAAGGTTACTAATTGGACACTAATAAAAGTAAGAAAATAAGAAAGTCATATAGGATTTATATAACTCAAATTTTGTATTGCTTAAAGGCTGTAAAAGAGAACATGTGCTGTGTAATAAGGAACCCACTATCTCTTTTAACTTAAGCTTCCATTTAATTGAAAAGAATTCTTTTGAATTTGTTTTGTCAGGCTGAGGGAGTTTACAAATCTAATTTGAATGACCGTGACAAATTGCACTTTCAAGCACTAGGTCTTGCACAGAAGTCCTATAAATACATTACTAAAAAAAATATGTGTTTTTATATCCAGATCAGAAAAGACAAATCAATGAAAAACCTTAAGCAGACGTACAGCAAAAATGGGATCAGAGTAGAAAAGAACTTTTGTGAAAAGTGAAAGTTCCAACATGGGAAAAGAAAAACAAGGGCATAGAGAAATGCAGACTTTTTTGGATGTTCTAATAATTTGCTTAGTAAACAATTTGGATTAATTAAGAAGTACCCTTTTCTTACTGCTTAGCTGAACAAAACAGATTATTCAACATGTACAGCAGAGTGAGAAAGGAAAAAACATAATATTTTGTGACTTCAATTGGACATCTTCTTTTGTCATCTTGCCTCACCGACTGCCTAATGTTCTCCCCTCCCACATGTAATGGGTGTAATTACTAAAAAATAAGTTACAGAATTTAAAGCATTATTTATTACTATTATTTATTGTACTATTATTATTTAGAACATTCACTATTGCAGAACTAGAATAGCAAAGTCAGTAGAAAAGCCTTTCAAAGTAAATTTTAAGACAATTTCACATCTTTGTCAATGCTTTTCCTTACTTTTTACAAATGCTGTTGTCTTCAATAAGCAACGCTGTTAATGTATTAGCATTCTATGTAATTAACATTCTATCTTATTTCTCAATCCGAACAGGGTAACTCATATTTATAGCTGAATGACAAACATTTGTTATATCTTACCTACTTCTTAATACGTGCCAGAAAATTACATTGATGCACATTCTATTTTCATTGCATTATTAGTAACGAGTTAAGAACCCCCCTCAGCCTTTTAAAACATTCCTGCCAGATACCTTCTCTCTGTCCACTGCTGCCTTTAATACAAGATACAAAGTCAAAAGAATCATGTTGTTGCCTTTAAATTGTCCCACACTAACTCAGTTAGATGAATGGATGTTACACTCCACACACCAGCTTTATCGAGTGTACAAATTGTTCTTGTATCTATCTCAGTCATTTAATATTAACTATTTGCATAATTCAGCCATGTGTGGTGGCGTGTTGAAACAGCATGACTGCAGAGCAGCTGTTTAAAAGGACTGCATAGTTGATGCCAACATGTTTTTCAAAGTTGTAAACTCTGCAAAGATGTTGCCAAAGCGACACATAGACAGAATTTCTTGATGAAAATAACTCAAGCAAGTATACAGCAAATACATACACCATCACAGGAGATTAAATTGTACATAACCAATGTTTTGACATTAACAAGTGCTGTTCTATACTTAAACTGCGTTCTTTTGTGGACCAAATAGTTGCACGTTTGAACAAGGCAAAACCCAAAAACTGTCACAGAGATTTATTTCAGAAACAGAGTTGAAATCTGTATGTGTAGGGTCAAATTCTCTTGTGTCAAGATCCACTCGGCAGTCTAAGCTGTCTACTTCGCAGAATCTGTCCTGTGAGAGCCCTGTCTGCTTTCGGACTTGGAATAGGCTCTGGAGAGTCAGCTCTCACACGAGCTTCCCCTGTGACAGAATTCTCTAAGGTGAAGCTATGGGAAGGAATGACAGGGAGTGGGGATGAGAAATTAGCCCACACCAAATAAATTATTTTGACATCACAGCCAAATTTATCATGAGAATTTAGCTAAAATTGCCTTAACATTTGTTCTAAAATCCTTCCACATTTAGTGTGAAAGACCTTAACAAACTTGGCAAAATAGCACAGGAAATGCTGAATCCAATAGAATCATTGGTATGTGTACTGCTAAACAAGAAAAGAAAACTGGCCCAACACATTTGCAAGAGATTTGTTGTTTTCAACCAAGGGAACGCTGCAAACAAAGTTCTGTCTTGAACCACAATAATTTTAGCCATGTCTTTAGATTTCTCTGCTCCTGAACACAATTCTTAGCTTCACTTTTAAGTTCTAAACGAGGAGCCATTCGCACTACCTGCTACTGTTAGCATGCTACTATGATTCAAGAATATTTTCCAATCCTAAAAACTGGCAAGTTGGTCTAGAAAGCTAGCACGGGAAAAGAAGCTCTGGAGCTTGTGCTTAGCAGGAGTATGTGAACTTGTTCCCATCTGAACAGAATCTTGAGAAAAAAGGGGAAAGTAGGTATAGGGTTCAAAATGGATGGGAAGAATCTTTTGTGTAGAAGGACATGTATTAGTTTCAGGATAAGCTCAGTAAAGGAAGTTGTGGAGAGAAATGGATGGTTAAAATTTTTATACATTTCTACTGTGTCAAGTCCACAGTCCTATGTCCAGGCAGAGCTGTGCAAATTGTTAACTTACAGTATTCACTCCAGTTAGTCAGTGCACTGTAGAAACAGTGTTGCTAAAGCTCTGCACGTCCCAGTTTCACTGTGGAGGTATTTGGTCCTTGCCACGCTGGCTCCTGGACATATAAGCAAGCCATGCTATGCAAGTTGTGCGTCACTGTGTTGAGGCTTCCAGGTCCGAGGGCTTTGGCTTTGGAGAGCCAAGACAGCAATCCTTCTTGGGAGGACTACGAGTACTAACACTTCTGAGTGGATTCTCCCAGCTCCTCTCTGCGCTGGCTTTACAGCTTTGGTCTCACTGTCCCAAACTTTGGGAATGCAAGCACCCGCTCCCTGCTTACACAATATTCCGTGGGGATGTGGCAGTGCAGATACAGGGAAAACAATGCAGTTAGGAAGAAAAGGTGGGTTAAGATGAAACAACGAAAAAATTTCAGTATGCAGCTGGCACAAAAACATTGTTTATGTACAATGAGCGTTGCCCATACAAACAAGTATCAGGGCTATACTCTATTATTAAATATTTTGAAAGTCTGTCCACAGAAACCTGACGAATTTTTGTTAAGGATGCTAACCTGCTCTGCCTACCAGCACAAATGCCAAAAACCAAAGTAATGAGCTGTGTGACACATTAAATGGGATTTTACTCAAGCTTATAACGCCTAAATCGATGTGTCTAAACTTAAGTATCTACACATGAGCTAGGAATCTAGTTTTCCATTACAGTGCAGCTTGGAACGTGATTCAAGCCATTCAGAAGTGGACACCTATTGGTGTGTTGGCTGAATCATGTTGTAACTACACTAGCCATATTGACCAGGCTGCTACTGACTATAATGCAAAGAAAGATGCTTACCTCACCACAGACACCTCCATTTAGATACCTAAATTTAGTTGTCATAAGCTGAATCCATGTTTCACCTCACTCTCCTTATCATTTACTTTTCCTAGCCTTCTACTTCACCTAAAACAACTTTCAGCCTGAATAGCCAATACATGCCATCATAATTCCCCTTGCACACATATTTGAAGTATTGAATTCCTGTGTTAAAAAGAATTGCATTTTTAGAACAAGCATTCACAACACAGACCATCTACTTGTATAAGTTTTCCTAAACGTACATAGGTTCATACTTTAGAACAATCTAACATCCTGTATTCCACTTACTTATGCACCTTAATTCACATTTAATGAAGATTACTCGACCTTAAAAGAATCATTGAAACTTTTGCATACATAACCAGCAAGTAGTTGGAATTCAGAATAAGTGATTAGAATGAATGGACTGAGAATGGACTGAGAATGGGAGCGATGAAGCAGGAAGTGAGGTAAGGTAACATGTATTGCATTCTAAATAGTATCAGAAGAACTTACTTGCTTATTTCCATTTATTTTTGGTACTGTGATGTCCAGCAACCTCAGTTAAAAATAGCAAAAGCAATTTTGTGTGCAATACACAAACAGCGAAGGAGATATTTAGGTACAAAGGACTGGCACCAATCTTTTCCATGATGTTCACTAAAATGTTTTCTGTTTTGGGATTTTTCCCTAATTCTACCTTGTTAATTAATTAGGCTGAATGCTATCAGTGATGTTGTTGTGGAACTCTTACAGTCTGCAAAAACTGTATATCATATTAAAACCATCAAGTTTTAAAACAGTGTTAAAGGAAGCAAATGAAAGAAGTATCAATCATTTTTAAAAGGTAGAGTAAAAAAGGCAAAATAGTTGGATGCTATCTGCTCATATTGCTCGTATTTCAGAAGAATCTCAGATTCTTATGATGATGTTTGATCTTGAAGCAAGTAAAAATAAGTTATATTTTATTTAAAATTGTTTTTACCTGTTTATTATGGATAATTAAAATAGTACCTAGAAAAATGATAAAATTACAATCAGTTTGGAAATATGAAGGATAAAATATGATTCCTTCAAATAGCAATGCAACTAGGAGACAGAAATGAGCAAATGCAAAATAAGGCATGCAGCAATATAAAATATAAATATATTTTAAGTTATAGATACGATAAAGGGATCTCTATTAACATGTTTTTTGTTGTCCTTGATGCATGCTCAAATATGCATGTACCAGAAAAGCGTCTTACATTTTCCTGATTCAGTACTACAAAAATTCAAAATTAGTATAGTATTAAATATTGTAACAAAATCATAAGTTACATAATAAAAACAAAATGAAAAAGAATTGTCTGATATGGAAAATTATTGAGGCATAACAAGAAATGCTGTTTTATCAAGTAAATAATTGATCAAATGTATGAAAAAATTGCCTACATTAAGCACAATAGATATTTA